TCTTGGGAGTTTCTGGGTAAAATTTTTGATGACGGATCAATTAAAAATTACACTGGGTCTCACTAAAGGACGAATGGTCACTTAGTGACATGGCACCCCTAATTAGGGCACCCTTCCCCTTCCCCCTCATTATGAATCAGCCCCCCTCTTCTCAATTCTCTCTCTAAAATTTGATTTTCAAACTTTGCTCTCACTTCTCTCTAAGATTTCTCCTCCAAAACCTCTCCAGATCACTAAACCTCATTCACAAAGATTGTTCCCCTCACTCTCCTCTTCACAACCATACCATTTTCATGGTGTGAAACAAATTTTGTGGTCATTTCCTTCATGTACAGACATGGTTTTTGAAGCTCCAAGGGCCATGGAGTTGTGTTCTTGAGCTCTCTTGAAGAACCACATTTGGTTGTTTGATTCTTGTGATTTGTGGGTAAGTTCTCTTGATTTTTTTATTATGAAAAATCTCATCTTTTCTTCTTCTGTTCTTGAGCTCTAACTCATGAGAATGTTCATGAAGGTTTGTTCTTGCTTAAAGGAGGGTTTTTGGTGGAAAAAGGTGGAGACTTGAGCTAAAAGAGGAACCTTGAAGATGTAAGCTTCCATTTGGGAAATATGAACCAAAAAGCCTCCCTTTTTCTTGTTGAGTGCCTCGGTTTTGATATGTTCATGAGGAGAATGTTGTTTAAAATTTTTTAAAGTAATGGTTTGATGAATATCTTTAAGGGTGTGTGTGTTTTGAACCATGGAATCATCGATTTGATGAGTAAAGGTGCCACCTTTGGACCTTTGTGTGTTGTTCATGTAAAAAGATGAACATGAACCCTATATGGACCCTTGATGATTTCAGCCATGTCATGTAATAATAAGATTTGATGACAAAAAAATTTGATTAAGTTGTTAAGTGTGGAAAAATGATTAGAAAGATTAACTAGGTGTTAAATTCTAAGTAAAACTCATTAATCATGATTAATAATGGCTAAAAACATAATTAAAATAGCCCATCAATTCTGCCCCATAAAGTATATAAGGGTTTAGTTGTGTTAAAATTAAGGGGATGATGAATTAAGGGATTAATTAAGGGTAGGATTAATTAACAAAAGTAATTAAGGATCTAACTCTAAAATATGATTAAAGTAAGGTTTAGGTACACTAATTAAGTAATTAGTAAAATTTAAGTATCATGACATAATGGGACTAAGGAGATTTCATAATGTGCCTTAATAATAGAAAAATTAAAGAATTAAGGTGAATTAGGATTTATAATCAAAAGTAATTAAGGTTTGTTAACTAAACACATTTAAGGCTAAGTAACCAATTTTTTAGGATAAATTAGGGAGAGAATATCTCCCTCCACATAAGTCATATAGGGATTTTCCTTATATCAAATTTAAGCTTGAGATGTTAGCTATGTGGTGTCAAAATTTGGTATCAATTGAAGATGTATTACATTTTGTATGTTCGTTTGAGTGAAGACTGCACAGGGAGGCCATGTGCAGGGGCTGTACATGGCTGCAACTTCCACGAATTGTTTATCCCTCTTTTCTTACTCAAATTAGGCTCATAATATTTCGAATTAAAGCTAAAGGTGTCTAGTTTTCTAAATAAAAATTTGGGAGTAATTGGTATAGTAGATTTTCCAGAATCTCAGAAATGGTAATGGATGTTTAGGGCCCTGTTCGGAGTTGGCAAACAGCTTTGTTTGTCCAACTTCAAATGGTGATAACCGGAGCTAAGGAACTCCAAATGAGGCATGTGATACCTTGTTGGAAAGGTAATTGCGTTTGGATTAACATAATAAAAGATGAGAATTTTATAACAAGTGAGTTGCACTCAGTGACTAAAAAACAGAAGCATATACAGTTATGGGAAAACCGTAAAGTGATATTTAAGCTAAGTGGGCTTAGGGGAATCCTTAGTAACTTATAATAATCATATATATGACTTGGAGGAGTTGAAAATAATCTAAGTTATCTATGTGAGCCTTGCATGTGATTCTAAGCTATGTAAGTAATCGAAGATTAAGGTGGCTTGTAATAATGCACTAAAATATGTAATAAGTAATAATTGGTCTAGACTTCTAATGGACATATTATTGGCATATGAGTATGAAAAGTGGAATCATTAAATGATTAAGTCGTGGATTTGAATTAATTAATGAATATGTAATTAATGATGTGAATGGTTCCTACTCTAGGTGTACCTAGAGAACTGTGCACTTGAGGATTTTGTTGGAGCATACGTAATATATTGGAGTGTGGGCTTGTGCTAAGCTCCCTGAGGTAAGCTCCTAGTTCTAGTTGACTCCTCTCTCTTGTGGCCCCACCATGATGGTGGGCATTACAGTTGTATTATATGAGAGTATATGGTATGATGTATATGTGCATTCATTCACATTCATATAGATGTTATATGGTCTTGATGTTATGCTGATGCACTGATGATATATGTTATGAGGATCCTGGCTAGTGATCATGGTATGTAGGCTGCCTATGACTTGACTCTGGAAGCTATTTTATATTGAGGTTGTGTTGACTGTCTATGGCTTGACCCTGGAAGTCACACATGTGTAACCGTCTATGGCTTTGACCCTGGGGTTACACAAGGATGATATGATGATGCTATGTTTATGCTGTATGTCTGTATTATATGCTTTATATCTAACTTGTCATGCAGGAAGTGGGCTCAGGGGTTAGAGGATCCTTTATGAACCTTGAGCTTACTGAGATGTGGTTATCTCACCCGATTTGGGGACATCATTTCAGGTACCCAAAGTAGTGGTGATGCTTCTAGGGGCAATGCCCCCGCATTGGAGTGGTTGATGATGCAACTGATGATTTTATATAATGTTTAGACTTGATGTTGGCATGTAGACTTGTTCCCATGCTTAATTATTTTATGGAGATTATTGTATGTATTTATTTAGGCTCATGATTGTATCCTTAGAGCCATGGATGATTTACTGATGCTTTTATACTTTGAATTAATATAGACTTGATGCATGTATTCAATTAATTTTGGCATGGAGCGTTATTGTTTGTATTGACCCATTGAGGGGATTGTAGTCCGTGTGGGACTTGCAAGCTATCTGTTTAAATTATTGTATTAATCAGGTTAACTGTATGTGTGGGACCATGTTCCCAATTATCCGAAATACAGCTGTTATGCTGTCCGTGAGACTCCGTCAGGAAGGACACTTGATGTCATATCTTGATGGTCAATGACCACTAATACTGGCTCATGGGATTAATTAGTAGATGTATTATTAGATTTACGCTTTCGCAGTATCTCACGTGAACGTTTTTAGAAATGTTTTCATAAAAGGTTTTGGAAAAAGTTTACTATTATTTTTGTAAAATATTTTATTATTCTTTTAAAATAAAGTCTTTCACTATGTATGCCAAATATCATGTATGTTAACAACCAGAATACTACGGGTGTTACATATTCAATCTGAAACATTGCTTCCCTCCAAAATACCCCTCCACCAAGCGCGCTGCCGCCGCCATCAGGCCATCTCGATTTGGCTCTTACTTGTGAGTTAAAAATAATTTTTTATTAAATCATTTTATTAATTTTTTGTCCAAAATACCCCTGTCCCTATCCGTTGCTTCCTTCCAGATTATTCAAACTCAAATATTGCTTCCCTCTAGATTATTCAAACCCACACATTGCTTCCCTCCAAAATACCCCTCCACAAGGCGCGCCGCCACCACTGTCCAGCTGTCTCAGCTCGGGTCGTACTTGTGAGTTAAAAATAATTTTTTATTAAATTATTTTATTATTTTTTGTCCAAAATAAACCTGTCCCTATCTGTTGCTTCCCTCCAGATTATTCAAACCAAAACATTGCTTCCCTCCACATTGTTCAAACCATAACATCGCTTCCCTACAAATTACTCAAACCGAAACATTGCGTCCTTTCAAAATACCCCTCAACCAAGCGCACCGCCGCCACTATTCGGCCAGCTAGGCTCGTACTTGTGTGTGAAAAATAATTTTTTATTAAATTATTTTATTAATTTTTTGTCCAACATACCCTTGGCCCTATCCGTTGCTTCCTTCTAGATTATTCAAACTGAAACATTGCTTCCCTCCAAAATACCCCTCCACCAAGCGCGCCCCCGCCGTTGTTCGACCAGTTCGGCTCGTACTTGTGTGTTAAAAATTTTTATATTAATTTTTTTTTACTTTTTGTCCAAAATACCCTTGTCCCTATCCATTGCTTCCCTCTAGATTATTCAAACCGAAACATAGCTTCCTTCCAGATTATTCAAACCGAAACATAGCTTCCTTCAAGATTATTCAAACCATAACATTGTTTCCCTCCAGATTATTCAAACCGAAACATTGTTTCCTTCCAGATTATTCAAACCCAAAGATTGCTTCCCTCCAAAAGTACCGCCGCCGTCGTCCGGCCGTCTCGGCTCGTACCTGTGAGTTAAAAATAATTTTTTTCCCAAAATACCCCTGTCCCTATCCGATGCTCCTCTCCAGATTATTCAAAGCGAAATATAGCTTCCCTACAGATTATTAAAACCAAAACATTGTTTTCCTTAAGATTATTCAAACCAAAATATTTCATCCGTCCAAAATAACCCTGCACCAAGCGCGCCGCCGCGGCCTTCCGGCCGTCTCTGCACGGCTCGTACTTGTTAGTTAAAAATAATTTTTTTATTAAATTAATTTATTATTTTTTGGCCAGAATACCCTTCTCCCTATTCGTTTCTTCCCTCAAGATTATTCAAACAAAAACATCGCTTCCCTCTAGATTATTCAAACTGAAATATTGCTTCCCTCTAGACTATTCAAACCGAAACATTGATTCCCTCCAAATTATTCAAATCGATACCTTGCTTCCCTCCAAAATAGGATTTTGCACTATAACCGGTGCACCATAACCGGTTATGGAACCGACCCGCATTAAATAAAAAGAACCGATTTTTTCAAATTAGTATTTTAAAACCAACCAATTACGAACCACTTCTAAATTAAAACCTGAACCAAATTTTTACTTACGAAGTCTCTCGACCAATTATGAACCTAAATCAATTCTCTCGGCCAAATTCCCAAATCATGGAAGTAGAAGTGTAGAACCCTAATTTTTTCGACGAAGCCAATCTCGAAATTTATTTGTAACCGGTGCATTGCTTACTCTAGCTCTCCACTCCCTTCATCTTTGACTTTAAACCTCGTCATTGTTGCCATCTGAAGTAGTTCGTTGTGGTGAGTTGTTTTATTTCCGTTCAGATTTTCGCTTGTTTTCGTTATGCACTTCTTAAACTGATTTAGGGATCTATGTATTAATTATTAAAATTTGGGGGGTTTCGATTTCTGAACAAGTAGGGTTTATTTTCCTTCAGAATGGTTTTCACTTTTAATCTCTTTGCATTTGCCTTTCCAATACGATTCGAAGACCTTCATTGGCTATTGATATTTGTCTCCTTTGAAGACCTTCCTGCAGTCGCTCTCCAATTCATAGGTCTGCACGCTCACGTTCAAGATCATTCTCACCTCGGAGGTAATTTTTTTCAAGTCATTGCTACTGATGTTGACATTAAAGCTTTTAGCTTTCCTGAAGCTACATTTTCATGATGATGTGAGATGAATTCTGTTTATCAGAATGGATGAGTTCTGTTTCTAGCAAAGGGTTTTTTGAACATTATTATCCTAACTCATGATTTGATAATTGATTTTTTTTCATTTTTATAAAATAATACTAATATTTTATTTTATTTAGGGTAAAAAATTAATAAGGATTCAAAAAATTATGACCGAGATTATTTATTATGTTTGTGTTTCCCCAGTGAAGATGGTATTAGATTCTCTGAAGATTTTTTATTTTTTATTTTTAGTGCCTAACAATTTAATATATATATATTGTGTATCAATCATTTACTCTTCAAAATAAATGATTGACTCGAGATTTTTATTAAATGGTGTCATTAAAAGAATGAGAAACTGGTTCTGCTGTGAACTTTCTTTTCAATAACTTGCTAGAAAGACCTAAGGTGGAGTTTCTTAAGATGGTTTCACTGAATAAGGTGGGGTAAGCAAACCTTCAGACGATTATGCTGGAATCTTGAAATATTAATTGAATGTGAGCAATTGTTTCACCTTCAGAGAATTTTGAAGAAAATATTCAATGTTTTGAAAAATAAAATAAGGATGTTGATGATTACATTTGCCGACTACCATTGTTTTTGCATCAAAATTGTCTCTGTTATTTTTCCTTTTCCATTTCCCTTTTTTCTAAAAGCCATATTGGGGTAATGATTCTATTTCAAAATTGTCTCTGTAAACTTTCTTTTCAATAACTTGCTAGAAAGACCTAAGGTGGAGTTTCTTATTTGTTCATAATTTATAATTCGATCCTAGAAATTGTATTCATCTTTATTCGCAGGTAAATTCGAATAACTTTTCAAAAGAATGACATAGCGTTTTCAATAACTTGCATGTTCAGAATTGTATTCATCTTTATTCGCAGGTAAATTCGATCATAAAAATAGAATCTTTTCCTTCCATTTTGCGTTTTCGATCGAAACCCTTTTTTCATTCATTCCTTTTGTTTCCTCTGGAAAACCATCGAAAATAGAGAACTAGTTGCTTAGAAAAAAAAACAAAAATCATGGTGGCTGGCTGCATGAGCTTGCTTTGAATAATACAGTTCTCAAGGCACTGAATTTTTACTTGACAGATATTGCCAATGTCAGAATTGAGGACCTTGAACTTATAGCCAAAAATTGCCCCAACTTGGTCTCTGTGAAAATTACTAATTGTGAGATCTCACTTCACTTCACTGGGAAAAGCTTGACCTCAAGCTCAACAATCTCACTTCACTTGAGGTACTTTGTTTCTTAGCTCTTTTTTTTTTTTAAAGATTAAAAAAAGGTTTGGGCATTTCTGATTTGTTTGTTTTTACATGCTACACCAGGGGTTGAGATCATGTGTTAATTTGAAGTGGCTATCTGTTGTAGAAAACAAATTAGAAAGCTTAGAAGGAGTTCAAGGACTTACTAAGCTCACAGTAAGTAGCTGCTTTGTCATTATCACCTAAGCTCCTGGTTTTATTTTGTTACTTTTTAATTTAACAGCTATTCCTATGTATCAGTATTTTTTTTGGGACTTAGTTAATTATGTTAGAGTATACTTGTTATTAATATCCTAATATAGTGGCATTTCCAAGGGCTCAAGTCTCTACCTTTTTAGATTAAATTTGCCATTAATCTTTCATTTCACAGGTTGTGCTGAAATTTGATCGAGTAATATTATTCTTTGAATTTGATTACTATCTTTAAAGCTTTTGAAAGAGTGGCATTCTACTGAGTTCTTTTATGAAATGAGGATTTTTCTATCTTTCTTCACGTGCTTGTTTGTTTACGCATGCATATGTCCAGAATAATGAACTTATTTCTTGTCAAACAATCTGCCTATGATTAATTAAGGGCAAACCCCACTGCACTGATTTTGAATGGTGAGACTTCTTACATGATCATCTGCTAACCACATCTATTTTGAAGGTTAACCCAGAACAATGCATATGTCCATTTTTTTTTTGCAGAGATGGTTTCCCAACAAGATGCTACCTGTTCGACCTCGGTTGCCCTTGATATTGATTGATTATTGAGTTTGGATTTCTTGTCTTTGGATTTATATTCTGTCTTTGGATTTCTTTTCTTTGCCTCTATTTTGTTACCTTGGAGCACATGGATAGTGATCCATGAAAGAAGGGATTTCATTTACTTTTTTCCCTGTCTGATATAGTTCTCTGCTAGCAACACTGATTTTGCATCTGTAATGCTAAGCTTGAATTTCATCTTGTATGTAGCTTATATATGATTTTTTCTTTTTCCACTTAAACATTTGTTACCCTTATGTAAAATTTTATTCACTATAATTCAAAATATTGTAGCCTAATTCATCCTCAGCAGCATTTTTTAATTGTTGGTTCTGTTTGTGCAGGCTGATGATAATGAAGATGGAAAATTGTCGCAGTGCAAACTGTGAAGGCTACAGTGAAGCTCTTCAGATGCTGCTGTGAGGAAACTTGAATACAATATCATAGGGTATTTTGGTGTGCAATTGGAGATTCCATGGCCTTGATATCTATTTGATCCTCGATTCTATAAAGATCTATATTCTGTGAAAAGCAAATACACAAATTTTGGTGGTTAACCCGTTTGGAAACTGAATTATATTCCATGGCCTTGATATTTATTTGCTGATTATATTCTGTGACAAATAATAAGACAGATTTTTAGCATATTCTGTTACCGGTTCACATGTTAGGATTTTTATATTCATATAGCTCAATTAATTGAGTCTTTTCTTTTATATTTTACTTAACTGCAGTCCGCAATGTCTTGATTCTTTCGTACCATATATTAATTATTAAATTCATGTGTCTTCTTCTGTTCAGCAAGTTTAGTTATCCAATCATCTAGCTTCTGGAAATTGTGCATTTGACAAAATAAGAAAGACCCCAGTTTGCAACCTTAAGGTGTAAATTGTCTAATACTTTTATAAAAAGATATGAAGCATCTCAGCAATCTAATTCTTCTTTGGCACAGTGCAAAAAGTTGGAAAAAAGAAAAAAAATCTTCTTGAAAACCGGTTTGGAAGTGGTTCTAGTTCGAAACCGATTTGAAACTAGTTCATAAACGGTTCGGGTCGAACCGGTTCGAACCAGTTTCATTTTTTATAAAAAACCGGTTCAAAGAACTGAACCGGTTCTTCAATAAAACCGGTTCGGGTCGACCCATGCTCATTCCTACTCCAAAATACCCCTCCATCAAGCGCGCCGCCGCCGTCCGGCCGTCTCGGCTCGGCTCCTACTTGTTAGTTAAAAATAATTTTTTTATTAAATTAATTTATTAATTTTTTGACCAGAATACCCCTGTCTCTATCCATTGCTTCCCTCCAGATTATTCAAACTGAAACATTCCTTCCCTCCACATTCATCAAACCATAACATTGCTTCCTTCCAAATTATTCAAGCCGAAACATTGCTTCCCTACAAAATAACCCTCCACCAAGCTCGCTGCTGCAGCTGCCGGCCATCTCAGCTTGGGTCGTACTTGTGAATTAAAAATAATTTTTTATTAAATTATTTTATTAATTTTTTGTCCAAAATACCCCTGTCCCTATATGTCGCTTCCTTCCAGATTATTCAAACTGAAACATCGCTTCCCTCCAGATTATTCAAACCATAACATTGCTTCCCACCAAATTATTCTAACCGAAACATTGCTTCCCTCCAAAATACCCCTTGTAATGCTCGGTCGCTTCAAGAATTAATGACAATCCGCACATACTAACACGAGACTTTTTAGTGTGCTTTTTCCTCACTCACACACTTACTGTAAAAACATCCCAGGAGGTCACCCATCCCAGAATTGCTCCAAGTCAAACATGCTTAACTACAAAGTTCTACCGTTACGGACTACCGAAAATACCTCTCACCAAGCACGCCGTCGTCCGGTTGTCTCGGCTCGGCTCATACTTGTTTGTTAAAAATAATTTTTTATTAAATTATTTTAATAATTTTTGCCCAAAATACCCCTGTCCCTATCCGTTTCTTCCCTCCCGATTATTCAAACCAAAAAATTGCTTCCCTCCACATTATTCAAACTATAACATTGCTTCCCTCCAAATTATTCAAACCGAAACATTGCTTCCCTCCAAAATACCCCTTCACCAAGCGCGCTGCAGCAGTTGCCGGCCATCTCGGCTCGGATCGGCTCGTACTTGTGAGTTAAAAATAATTTTTTGTCTAAAATACCCCTGTCTCTATCCGTTGCTTCCCTCCAGATTATTCAAATCGAAACATCGCTTCTCTCTAGATTATTCAAACAATAACATTGCTTCCCTTGAAATTATTCAAACTGAAACCTTACTTCCCTCCAAAATACCCCTTGTAACGCCCGGCCGCTTCAAGAATCAATGATAATCCCTACATACTAACATAAGACTTTTCAGTGTGCTTTTTCCACACTCGCACATTTCTTGGGAAAACTTCCTAGGAGGTCACCCATCCCAGAATTGCTCCAAGTCAAGCACGCTTAACTATGGAGTTTTACCGTTACGAGTTACCAAAAATACCCCTCCACCAAGCGCACCGCCACCGCCGTTCGGCCGTCTCGGTTCGGCTCGTACTTGTTAGTTAAAAACAATTTTTTATTAAATTATTTTATTAATTTTGACCAAAATACCCTTGTCCCTATCCGTTGCTTCCCCCCAGATTATTCAAACCGAAACATTTCTTCCGTCCACATTATTGAAACCATAACATTGCTTCCCTCCAAATTATTCAAATCGAAACATTGCTTCCCTCCAAAATACCCCTCCTCCAAGCGTGTTGTCGCTGCTGTCGGCCAATTCGACTCGAATTGCTTAGCGTGCTTGACTTGGCGCAATTCTGGGATGGGTGACCTCCTAGGAAGTTTTCTCAAGAAGTGTGCGAGTGAGAAAAAAGTACATTAAAAAGTCTCGTGTTAGTACGTGGGGATTGTCATTGATTCTTTAAACGGTCGGGCGTTACAAGGGGTATTTTGGTAGGAAGCAATGTTTCGGTTTGAATAATTTGGAGGGAAGCTGTAACATCCCACATAATTAGGAAAAATATATGTATTGCTATAAGGAATATGGAAGCGTGTGTTAAATTCAAATTATATGTTTATACATGCCTTGTCTTCAAATTATATAGCTATTTTCCCTAGAGTGGAATTAAATAAATTTAGGGAATTATTTGAAGTACAATTGGAGTGGGCATGTATTTAGACGTTGAAACTCTTGTTTTAAAAAAAAAAGAAAAAGAAATATAGGAACAATTTAAATGTAACCTATAGAAAGCCTACCAATACCTAAGTGATAGTTAGCAAGTTAGTGGGCTAATTCATAAAATAGTAGAACCATTGGGTTTATATTTTGGACCCAATATCCCTCAATGGCCGACGACCCATGAGTCTTTTGTGGGACTTAACTTCAGCCCAATATCCTATCCATCCTCACCTTATTTTAGGAGTCCTTCAAGGCAGTTCATGATTTGTTAGGGATCTACAAATGGCAAAATTCAGCCACTTGGTTCTACCTAGTCCCATGCGCTTTGTGGGCAGAAAGCAAACTGAATTCTTGTGGCATTAGTCAAGCCCAATCAGCTTTTCATTCATGCAACCAATGAGGGAGGAGTGGGGCAGTTTGCATGTCATCTTATTGGACAAAAAATCTTTCTCTATCCTACACTCTCCTATGCGCTGAATCAAGGGAAAGGACATGCATCAGAATGCATGTGTTTTTAGTGGTTAGTAGGTTAGGCACTCAGCCATCTCACCTTCATTCCTTGTGCGCCTAGAATGATGAACAACAAGCTGATTGCTTGTGAGACTAACTAAACCCAGTCAGCCTTGCCAACTACTTGCAGCCAATGAGACCAAGAAGAATTTTGAATGGTGTCATTTTGATTCAGCATTCACAATCCTTATCCCTCCATCCCTTGTGCGCACATTAGGTGGAAAAGAACAATAGAAATTCTGGCCTTCCTCTCCAAAATAAAACCAACGTCATTCTCCTCCTCTCAACCTCCCAAAGTCGTGAGTTTGTAAGGAGCACAAAGAAATAAAAACTCATCATCCTCTCATCTCTTTCCTTGACCGTATACATACCTAGGAAACAACACAAAGGAAACTTTCTTGCATCTTCCACTTCCTTCCAGCCGCGAGCTCCATGAGCAGAACACAAGACACTTAGCATCTTCTCCTTCCATTTTCTTTGTTGGCCGAAACCCACCTAACTAGAAGGTAAGGTATTCATCTCTTCCACGTTCATACACGTTTCGCTCAGCTTTGATGGGAATGTTTCTCTGTTTGCATGTAGTTAGAGTCCGAAGTCTTGGAGTATAAGAGAATTCTTCGTTGCATTCAGATTAAATTTAGACTTTCATCTTCCTTCCCTTCTCATTGTGCGCACAATCAGCACCTTGAAGGGCTGGACTTGTTTTTTTACAAAAAAAAAAGCATCAGAAGATTGAGGTGTTGTTCCTTGTTCTAATCTTAGCCCTGAAAGTGCATGCAATAAGGTAACTCGGGTTTCAAACTTCCTTCCTCTCTTCTCTGTTTCGGTTTACAGCATGCTTTAGGGAGTTAGTTTTCTTAATTCCCATTCTCTTGTTTCTTCCCTATTGGATCCTTGGACCTAGGATTGAAAACGCAAAAGAGACCCGAACGGTGAGCTCGGAAGATAGCTCTTTTACGAATTGTGGGACTGTTTGTGTGGTTATGTTGTATTTTAAGCCTTGCATGTGGAGGATGTAGTTGGACAGCTTGTTTAAAGACCCCCCTTAGCGCACCTATGGCCTTGTAGAGTTAAATTTGTGAATAAAATGTCATGAACCTTTTGTTTTGTTGAAACCCGAATTGGTATGCTTGGGAAATGTTGGATTTTTTCACTGTTTATGAGTAGACAAAAAAAATTAGCTGAAGTCAGAATTTGTTAGGGCTTGAACCATGCAAACCGTATAGGAAAAAAAGGGGTCTAGAGGGATGAAAACGTCATGCAACGTATAGGAAAAATGCGACGTATAATTCTGACTTGTTACATTTCTTTTTAGGTGCGCATAAACTCTAGTGTGTGGACTATTTCGCTGCTGTTTGGTAATTTATTTGTGGCACGCGAGGTAAGTGTTAGGTGGCATTATCTAATGTGACTATTAGCTAGTGTATAGAATTGTGAATTGTTGCTCACATGTGCCTTGGATTCATATTCTGTTATATATTACATGTATTCTGTCTTTGAACGTATTATGACGGAAATTCTGCTATGAGAAGTAAATGTTATGCAGGAGGTTGGTATTAAGAAAATACATGAAATATATGCTATTACAATGATGATCTAGTCATACATATGTATATCATAATTCATCTGTTTCTTTTTGTGTGTGAAGCATATCATGGCATACATGCACGAATTTCATGCTGCTCATGGACTAAGAATATTTATATAAGTAAGCATACGTTTGAGCACGCATCATATAGGCATCCCTTCGGTACCAGGGTATGGGACACTTGGCTTCTGTCCGCATAGGCCACAGTTGGAATTCACCTTTGAGGAGCCATTATGGAATATCCACTGTGTATGTTAGTACGTGCACGACAGTGCTATGAACGTACCTTATGAAGGCGTTATATACGCACTATGATGATATGTTAAACAATTGATCGAATAAGTTAAAATGTTGATGCGACTGTTTTGGAATTCTGTGCCTAGTTTAATATTGTT